ATTTATCAGCACTATCACAATCATCCAATTTTCCCTTCCTTTCCAATCTTCCATTTCTTCTTGTTCATTAGAAAAAAAATTACAAGAAATCATGATGAATCATGAATGAATTTTGCTTCAATGAATGAAATACCGTAATGCGATGTGATATCTTTTTTAATGTTAAATGTAAACTCGAAATGATTTAAAAATTGATAAGTAACATTGAAATTGATAAGTAAAAGAAAAAATAGAACAAAACAAGAGATAACTTAATATAAGTTTATTCCATATTGCATATTACTGATTGTATTTGTGAATAAACTTTACGGCTATGTGTTACCCATTGCTTATCGAAATCAGTGCATGATTCAAGTAACGAACCAGCAATTACACCGATACGGCGCATCAATTCACGTGTATTCTTTAGTTCGATTCGTTTTGCTTCCAATGTTTGTTCTAATTCAGCAACCCGTTGTCTATGGGTTTCACATTGCTCACAACCTTTTTGAATGGAAATATCTGGTGATTCGGAATCATCTGATAAATGATCCGCTTCGGATAATTGCGCTGGTGATTGCAATCTGCCTTGCACAACACCTGGTGATGCTTTTTGTGGACTGAAATATTTTTTTTTTCCTTCTTTTTTCAAAGTAAAATATATTGTAAAAATTTTTTTCTAAATTAATTTTCTTCAAAATTTGCAAAGTTCAAGGTAAGAAATTAGCATGAAATCATATATGTAATTTGAAATTTTTTAATTTTTCAAAATGAATGTTACCTTGAGGAGCATGAAGAATTTGTTGCCGTATCCGAATGAGTAATAGCATCTTCCGAAATTCCTTTTGTATTTGCAACAGTACCAAAGATGGAAGGAAGTGATGCTATTGATGCATTCACTTTACCCTTTAAATGATTCATCATTTAAATTGAATAAAAATTTTTTTCAACCTTAATTTCAAATTATAAAAATTTTTACCTCACAGCATAATTTACTACTGTTAAATAATTGTTCTATTCCAGAATTGGTAGATAAATGAATGGAAAAATTTTAGCTTAATGCTAAATATCATACATCAATCAGCATCATTTGTCAACTATCATTCCACCTAATATATATATCAGGCTATTGTTAGTGTCAAAATTTTTTTTTCTCTTTTTAAAAAAATTTCAAATATATAGTAACGTTTTAAATGAAATAAAATAAACTTTCGATTATAAGAAACAAATATTGTAAAAAATTTTTCTCATAAAATAAACTTCCAATTAGCATTATGTTATTGAACGAAATCAACAGATGACAAGCGATAAATCCAACGTTTATGATAAATAGATAGAGTGGATGAAGGTAGGAAAGGAAAAGATAAACAACATTCATGATGAAAATGTAAGCTAACCTCATTGATGAAGAGAAAATAAACAAAATTAAATTAAGTAGTGAATTAAGTAAACAAAAAGGAAAGGGAAAGGGAAGGAGAGAGAGAGAGAGAGAGAGAGTGAGAGAGAGAAAAAAAAGAATACCTCTTTATCGAAATGTTCTTGAAAGCAATTTTGCATGCTCACATTGACAACATTATTGCGGAAATGGACAAAGCTAAGATGTAGAGTGAATGAAGCTTGCGTATTGAAATGCTTCATGCAGAAAATGCAAAAGAATGTTTGTCCAATTGGTTGTTGATTGTTTACACCATTAGCTATCAAATTTTGTGCAAAATTTTGCAATGCACTTGCTTGTAATAATGGATTTGCTACCACTGCATGTGCAGCTGCGCTATGATGTGCCGCAGCTGCTGCAGCAAGAGCACGTTGTTGCTGTTGTACAGCTAATACTTGAGCAACCTGTAATTGTTGATGATTAAAATGCAAAAATTTTCCACTGTTTACGATTACAACATTTACAGTGCTTTTTTTTTCTAAGAAAATATGGTTAATTGAATTAGACATTTAAAAAAAAGTAATCAAAATATTTGATATTTTTTAATCAAAAATAATTGTTATGAAAAATTATTCTTTGAAGTGATATGATATAATTCGGCTTTATTTTAATTTCAAAAAATTGTTGATAACAATAATAATATACCATAAATTGAATTTTTATTTCTAAATTAACATGAAAACCAAAAAAAAACATGCAGACCTTGCTCATTTCTTCTACTGAAAAAACTGTTGGTACAGCTGCTCCAGCATTACCCGCTACTTGACATTGCTGTTGTTGTTGTTGTTGTTGTTGTTGTTGTTGCT